TCCTGACTTTGACTCAGGTTGCTACCTCCCAGAATACAGCTTCATTACTGAGCTCATTTATCCTCATCTACAGTTTCTCAGCTATAGCCTTTCCTCTGTAAGTCACAGGCCATTCCTGGCTCTGCTGAACATGTGCTGCAGGCAGCTTTACAGCCCAGCGGCACCTCATCTATTCTGTTGATTCCCCAGGCTACTTAAATTCCCTAGAGTAGAAACTGTAATTTTTACACAGTAAGTATACTATAAATCTGTTTCAAGCAATTGATCCTAGCATGCCAAGTCCACCAAGGTGAGACTGTACCTTCAGGTGTGTTGTGAAGGTGGTGATGTTCTGTCCGTTCTGTCTCAGAAATGTTTTTTTCAGTGTACACACTATGTGCAGCAGCTGATTGGGGTGCAGAGCTATAGGTATATTCCTTGTTCATGCACTCAAGCTCCCTCAGCTCTGCCAGCCCTGGGCAGTTATGCTGCCAGGTTAGTTTTCATGAGGTGGCAAAAAAGATGTCCCTGTGCATTGGGTTACTGGTTTATTCTGGATGTGTCAAAGAACTACATGGATTGAATTGCCATTTTCTCTTTCTACATATGTGTTTTGGCTGCTCTAGCATAGTCTGCAGGCCTTGCCTGGGCAGATATGCTGGTTTGCATCTAATGGCCTTATTCTGAAATTCTGATGAGGATAACCTATGCTGTACTGTGTAGTCCTTGTAGGAGCCATTTTATGCAAATACTGTAATGATTCCCCATGAGTTCTAAAGCCTTTGCTCTTAAATTGCTCTGAGGTGTGTGTTAGACTCCTGAAGTGCCAATAGAACCCCTCTGCATTCTTTAAGAGACACTAAGGGGAATTCTGGAGAGTAGCTCAAATGCATACATGTCCCACGTGGATGCCATCTCATCTTTAGCAAGGCTGCTAAGTGGAGGAGGCAGCAGGTGGTTCAACAGCACTGAACTCTCCAAGCCTCAGTCTGAAGATAAGAATTGAAGTAGTTAGCTTGTATTGTTTGAAGAACGTTATGTTGTTTCTGTTCATCTTGATTTTCATGGATTGGAGCACTACATGGTGCCCCCTGAGAGGGCTCACTTACAAAAATATCCTCAGTGCCTTGAGTTACACTTCTGTGCATGGTTTGAATTGCCCCCGGTTGCATCATCCAGCACAGCACAGAACGTATTACATTTGAGAGCTTTCTCTTAGGATCTACTAAGAGATCAGCTTTTCTGATCAGCTTTTCTCTATATTTTGAAAGAGGCTCATCCTATTAGACTATCAGATAATGTCTAGTATACGCCCGTAGAACCAAAGCCGTCTCAAAATGCAGCACATTGATAACAGTGTCTTCTAGAAGGCAGGAGACTCAGCATCCTCCATTGCTGGATGGCATTTCAGCCCACATTGCCCAGCTGCTAGGCTGTTCCCCTGCCCACTGCAAAGCTTTACAGGGAAGTGTTAAAGCCTTGCCCAGCAGGGACAGGTAGTTCCTAGGTTACTTAGGGGAGGGGAGATGGTGCAAAGCAGTTTGTAAATTTTAACCAGTTTGTGCATTTGCCTGTTTAGTGCAAAATGATACAGCTTAATATATTTGGAGGATATTTCCATATTCCAAATTAGTTGTTTATTGATGAGTTGAAATCGTGCTGTGGATTTGACAGTTGCCTAGAAAAAGCACCCAAATGGTCAGGTCCCATTTCTTCTGCCCATTTGGCTTCAGCCATGGATGGCTGAATGGCTGTTTCCACTTGACTCTGCAGGTGCCAGCTGGGTCACTCGCAGCTCTTACACAGAGTCCCCAGAAGAAGCTGCAGCTATGGGAGACTTGGCTTTCTGTCAGCAGGTGCTGCTCAGTGGAAGCTGCAAGTATGTGCAGCCTTTGCCCAAGTGCCTGAAGCGAGAACTGGTCTCAGGCAATCAGAAGTCGTGCTTGCTGCAATTTCTGACCTGTAACAGTTTATTATTTATTTACCTCTCCTGTCAGAGTTAGTACATGACATAGCACAGATAAGTTAATCCCCTTCAACAGAGAAAACCCCTCTTCTTCAACAAAAAAACCCCATGTGAAATCTTCAACTCTAAAAACATTAGACAAGGGGTTCTGCTGATAGAAACAATGGGTGGTGACAGCATTCAGTGAATTTATCGTTCCAGTGAGCAGTTTTCAGTGGAGAGTTTCTCAGAAGAGCTGCAGTAGATAGATTTTTCTGTGACTTCATATGCAGTTGGAAAACACCCACTTCATCTTGCTTGTGCTGTTTTATTTAAACTCAATTGGCTTAATCCCATGGCAGCCAGGTTCACTTACTACTTCTCCATTAGCTAAGCACTGCTGGATGCTCCAGCACAATGTGCTTTATGTCAAGGAGTGAAAAACACAGAAGCAGACTGTAGTGTTGGTAGCATTCCCTGCCATTGCCCTTTTGTTCCTATTGAACATTGTGTTCTGCCATGGAATAGTAATGAGGCTACACTGACAAGATGTGACATGACAAGCAAGACTGAGGTAAGAGAAACCACTTTGACTTCATCGTTATCCTTGAGCTCCACAAAATGCCCTTTGTTGCTTGGTGCCCCGATGCCCACACATCTTCATTCTTTTTCTGGCTCTTCCTTGCCTTATTGATTCATTCTGGGTGAAGAAGATCCTATAAAAAAAAGGCAAACACCTCAGCATTGCTTCTACATTGGGAAGTGCTATTTCAGTTGCTAGGGGATGTGCTTAGAAAATGAACCCAACTCTTAAAAACAGTATTTCCATTTCAGGCCATCTTACTTTATGCTGTTCTGTTATTTCAGCTAATTTTTCAAAGAATCTTACCTCGGTTTCGTTGTTCTATCTATTAATATCTGGGAGGAAGTCTTAATTAAAACTTTAAACTGCTTGAGAACTAAACTCACATGCATGCCTACATCACAAGGAGCCTGAGTCATTTTCTATGGCAATATGTTGCCTAAGTTCCTGAAGAGGAAGAAAGAGGAATGCTACAAAATCTGAGGGAAATTGTAGTGCAACTTGTGATTGGCTGAGGTCAAAGTAGCGTAGTGTAGGTAAAAAATGTTTGAGTAGAACACATCAAATAGAGTCTTAAACTTCAACAGCATTCCTGTGAAAATTGTCTGATATGTCTGATGAGAAAATCAAATGGATCAGCAAATTTTCTATGAATGAGTCTCAAGCATATGTGGAGAGGTTATCCACTTATAGGTTCAGGCAATAGCTCTAGCAGTGGAAATCAGGGAATCTAGATGGAGATGAAAAATTGTTAATTAAGTGTCTCCAGATTAAAAATTTCAGAAATACAGATTCATATAGCTGTGTCTGAGGTTAAGTGGAATGCAGCATTGGTGAGAACTGAAATAGAAGTCCTTGGAGTGCATTAGGTAAAGAACAGTCTATGCTTGCAAGTAATTTTAGCAGCTAAATGGCTTTGCTCATTCTCTGATACCTAATGATAATGTCTCCAATTTCACACATTGATTTTTAAACAATGTGTGTCAAAATAAAGTGAGTTCTGTAGTCAAATTAGCACAGTCACAGGTTTGCTGCCTTCTCCACACCTCATTGGAAACGCCACACTGTTGGAGCAAGCTAATTCCCTTATGCTCAAGGTGACTGTTGGAGTGGAGCTTGGAGCATTCTGCCCAGGCTATATGCAGGAAGGAACAGCTGCTCATCAGCCGTAACAGCTGTAACACAGCACAGCCTGTCCTATGGAAAATGTTCCGTTCTCCCTGAACACTTCTTGAAACCTCTAAGCTCTACATTACCTAGCCTATAAGAGACTTCTCAACAAATCATCATCTTAGTGGACTCCAGACAAACACCCTTGGAGTTTTTGCAGTACTTAGTATTAAATTAAGTGTAGTTTTAGTCAGAAAGTGGGTGGGAGGAAGAGCAGAGGAATTTAGTATTGGCAAAAGGTACAGTATGGACAGCCCTGGAACCACTAATTCATGTAAATTGTGGGACAAAGTCTGTGGGGTGGAGTTTCCTCTCTGTCTCTCTTGCTCCACGGGAAACAACACAGGGAGGGAAGGAGAATTCAGGTATTATGACTCCTCAACCTGCTACAGACTGGCTCCAGTATACCAGTGTAGGGCCCTACACTGAGGCAGTAAATTTACTAAAGACAGGCTCTTGAGGCATGCCTGCTGATCAGTGCCCTGTGTCTCTTCTGTGCCTGGTAAGGCATATAGTAAAAGTAAAGGGAAACATATTTTATGTGGTCTAAGCCAGATACAGCTATTAAAATCTGGCACCTGTATGTCTGCATGGCTAAATGCTACAGAGAAAGGGTCTGCAGTGTGAAGCAAGATGTTTCATTGTGCTGAATTAGATATGACCTTGGAAAACAATATCTGTGCTAGCAGAGTGTAATCCAAATCAGTGTACGATGGAACAGAGATACTTACAACCTAGGCTGGGGTTTTTTCTTGTTGCTTTCCCCCCATATTAGGAAATACCATATGAGGAGAAATTAGAGGGTGGTATGGTAGGATAGGAAAAGGATGCCCAGGTTTGATAATTTGACTGAACCACTGTGTCAGCCCAAGGAAGAAAAGGGAGAAACAAGAACAGCTTCTAAGGCATCTCCATCTACCTAGTCATACTCAGCTTCTGGTCTGACCAGCAACAGCTTAAATATTTTTTTCCAGACTTTTTGAGCTACTTGCTAAAGGAATGTCATTGTCTCGGTTGAGAAGCACCATCAGGAATGTTCTTTTACCCATGGACTGCCTAGAGAACAGAGTCACCAAAGCCATTGAGGGCCATGAACTGTTTTTCTGGTCTCTGTTATGATGCTGACAAGGCCTACAGCTGGTGGGGGTCCCTGTGCATGTCAGTGTGGAAGTTGGCAGTTACAGCTGCTTCTGACTGCAGGACATGCTCCTTCCTGTTCTGAACAACAGGGAATTGGCCCTGTTGAGGTGGTGGTGTGGATGACATTGCCTCTATGCTTGCTTTGGTACTATTAACCATGCTCCCATTTGGTTTACTCCACAGATATTATGTGGGAAAGAGATCCCCCGCTGGGTGAACCGCCTGGCCTACTTCAGCTCGTGCATCCCCTTCCTCCAGAGCTGCCTCCCCAAGGAATGGCTGACCCCAGCAGCCCTGCAGAGCCACATCAGCCTTGGTCTCCACAAGGAGGAACAAGGGGACACAACGGATGAGGAGTCCCCCTCCACCTCTGCAGCCCCCTCAGCCTCAGGCACATCACGGACCTGTAGACATACACGGGTCTAAACTGCCTAGTTGGGCCCCAGATAACATCCCTGCTCTCTTCTATTTATTTCTCACACCCTTTTGCATACATTGGTTTCTCTCTTCAACAGAAAACACAGGGGAGAGAAGACCCTTTCCGCTTCAGTCCCTTTTCCAAGGACTGCCACTACAGTTGCTTGGCAAAATGACTGTGAACCCCAAGACAGAACTGAGGATCGTGGTGACTAAACTGTATTCACCTCCAGGGGCCTCCATGATCCTTGATCTACAGAGGACTGCTGACTCCCTCAGGCACGAGATCATGTGTATGGGCAGAGTGCACATACTGTGATGTTCCTTCTCTGGAACTGTTTTATCTTTTTATCTTTCCCTCCACCCATTTAAGCCCAGCAGTCTCTTCTCTATTTTGACTGGGTTTTTGCTTCCCCAATGACAAATCACCTGCCCACACCCAGTGAAGGAACCAGAGCCAGAACTCAACCTTCTCATCTCTTAGACCAGCAACAAACTCCACTCAGATCCATCCCTTTTGTAATTATCAGGTTTCTAAATCATGTGAAGGACAAATGAAAGGTGCTCCTGTTCTACAACCACCTGTTTTCAGTACTCAAATTTAAGAGCTTAAATGATTGTCCTGCTCTTGAAAATAATAACAAAGAACCTAGAAAATGAATGTGTTACTGTGGCTTTTCTTTGGGGTCAAAAAGAGCATGGGGCTGTGGTGATTAGAGGCAGCTACTAAGTAGATGCAGAGATGACTCAACCATATTGGTGCTTTTTGGCACAGATCCCTCTCAGTTTTCCTAATCCTAGGCAGCGTTCCTGGTTTCCTTCCCCCCCCCCCCCCCCCCCCGGGAATCTCTCTCCTAGCTGACATTTGCTGGCTGTATTTGGGAAAATGGCCTTCCTGAGCACAAGGAAGAGGAGAGTGAATCTGTTTGGAAGGGCAGTATTTCCTTCAGGTTTTCCTCCTGCACTCACAGACATAAAAACATGGCTTCAGAGCCATCCTTCCCTGGCCTATTTTCAAGCCAACCCAAGAAGGTAAAAAACAAATGGTGAACCCAAAGAATGTCAACCTGTTCCTTTCTCCTCCCTTTTCAGAGGTGGAGGGGAAAACTTAGGGCCACATCTGGAAAGCACAAATGACCCTTCAATGCATGGGCCACCATGGTGCCTTCCACTGTGTGCACTATTTCAGTGGAATGAAAAATGGGCAGAGCTGGCTCATTGGCCTCTCCAAGCTGGCTCCTGACAAGAATATGGTCCTTGGATGTATTTATGCTAATTCTGACAGCTGATGAGAAAGCACAGAATGAGGAAAGGACAAGTACACTAACTTTTCCACTCAATTACCTCACTAGGAATTCTAGTCAGAAGGTGTAGGAAAGAATGAAAGGGGAAATCCAGGTCCCCTCCCTCCCTTGCAACTTCTCTTGGCTACATAAAGGAGGATGAAAAAGGAACAGGCACTGTGCTGAGAGGGAGTTACCATTTTAGAAATTGTGTTCTCAAAAGCTACTACCAAGTCAGGACTTCCATCCTGAACTCAGAGGGAACTACAAGCCCTTAAGATGTTGGTTGTTTCCTTTTTTCAGTCACAAATGTATGATAAATCCAACCAGCTGTTTCTTTAGCTCAGGTATACAGGAGTGTGTGCTTTCAGGGCTGAAGGTCTCAGCTATGATGTGCATCATGTCTGCACAGACAACATTTAATGGTTTGTTATATATGCATGCCCTTAGTGAAGCAGGAGGCTCTGGAGAGATCTACTGGAAGGAAATGTAACTCACAGGATGGCCTCGCTCCATTGCCTCCTGAAGTGATACGTGTTTAGACAACAACACCTTTACAACATGCCTCTCATTTTCATCCTCTGTACAAACTGCTGCAAGTTCTGTACTGAACTAAAGTCACGTTCCTTACTTACCTTGGCTATCCACAGCCAATGCTGCATTGTGAGCAATTCTGCAGTTCCTGGTAACCAGTCCAATACCGATCTTGATTAGTATGCCTTGTCCAGGGATATTTAATGTGATTTCCATCATGATCTCCATGCCACTGCCCAGAAACCATATTGCACAATGTACCATTTCACTCTGTATTCCCCTGCAGTCGTGGTCATTGCAGCCTAAACCATTGCAGCATTGCAAGCTTCATTTGTCTGAAGTTCCCAGGGTTTCTGCCAACAGCCAGCAGCACATTATGTGCAATGAATTTTAAAGGTCCTTCTCAGGGGGAAAGTGAGAAGAGGCTTTCCCAGAGCATTTGTCTAGACCAGGGCAACTGCAGTCAGAAACACCTCGTTCCCTTTGCTGTGACAAAAGCCAGTCAGCAATCACCCTTGTGTTTCTGCTCTGCACCTTCAGAGGAAGCATCATGTATACATCTAGGAGATGAGCTCCAGAGTCACATTTCACACAGAAAACCCTCTCACAGTACTTCACAAAGTAAAAAATGCTTAACTGGATGAAAACCTGGACAAGAAAACTTACTTGGGAACATAAATATGTGCTTGAAATTGGGAACAACATTTGGGGCCAGCTGTGAATGTCATAAAACCCCCAGATGTTTGTTTACCCACTTTTATGTTTGTCTGTCTGTTTATGACAATATGGGTCACATCAAGGAGGCATCAAACCTCTGCTGTAAATCAAACCCAGAATATATTCCAATCTTCAAAACTCTCTGTTCAAGGTGACTGATCAACCAATAATGAAAAGAACAAAGTGACACTGTGGAAATAAAATATATATTGATGATGGCTTTACCTTTGTAATTTAATAGCATTTTAGATTATTAAACAGTAAGACATTTTAACACCCTAATTTACTGTTCATCTCTGGCTCAGCATGTTTGTCTTAGGCTTTTTTATTATCCTTCCAATTATTACAAAGTTGTTGTTATTACATAATTATATCATATTTGTATTTAATTACACATCTACTTTCTCTTGCTGCTTTCTCTGCATAACACCATGTGGAAAATTTTAAATACCAACAGCAGTTATCAACGAAAACAAAAACACTGTATGAATCTTAAAAAGAGCACCTTATAGCAGTGGAACAAACTCTTAACCCTTCTTCTTACAGCCAGGACTTTTGGTGTCATTTTAGAAGCTGGGATGAGAGAGCACCAATTCTACACATGGGCATCAGCAGCTGTGGGTTACGTCTCTAGCAGTGACCTAATAGTATTCAGGTGGGACACTGAGACTGGAGGTGAGGTTAGCCTAACCCTGGAATATTAAAGGTACAGAACAGACTGTTGCTAGGGAAGGCATAAAAGGAGGGAAGCAAGTAATAACCTCATTTCTCAGCATGTCTTTATCTATAGTAGCAACTTTCTTAATTTCATGACATTTTTGTTTTTCTGGTTTCTTTCTGGTCAGTTGTCTTCCTCTTCACAAGTCTGTGATTTGAGGCTTGCTTAATTTCATGACATTATTCTTTCTGGTTTCTTTCTGGTCAGTTGTCTTCCTCTTCACAAGTCTGTGATTTGAGGCTTATTTTACTCAAACTCTTTAGAAGGGACACTTGTGCTTTCCGAGGCCCTGGGTGTGCTCGTTTCCCAGCACTGAGCCTGTGCTCTGTGATGAGTTCATCCCAGGCCCAGCACAGCGTGCGGATGGACACTGACAGACCTGTTCTCCTGCTCTTGCTGTCCCAGCTGAACGTTTGCATCTTGCATCTCTGGAATTCAGACCCATGCTGCCATTGTGTTACTGAGGTACTCAAGGTCACTTCCTGCCATGCTGTTTTTTATTCTTCAGTTCTGTTTCTTTTTTGTGTTACTGAGGTACTCAAGAAATGGTCACTTCCTGCCATGCTGTTTTTTATTCTTCAGTTCTGTTTCTTTCTCTCTAGACTGGTAGGGCTCTCAGAACAAGTTAGTGGATATTAGACTGCAATAATATTAGCTTATCTTACTATATGTGTTTGATTTTATTCTTATTTCAGTTTGTATATATGTGCTATCTAATTAACATGGTCAGAAAACTTTATTAAGTACCTCCACCACTTCCTGGAATAATGGAGAAAACCAAAGGAAGGGATCATCAATGTTCCATCTTCAAATGTTTTTAAATTACTCTTTGAGTTGAGGCAGCAGGTGCCTTGTATCCACTTCATCCCTGCCCCGCATCCCATGCCGTCAGCAATGACTTGGGATGTGAAAAGGCTGTGTAGTGATTCAGAAGTATGTAAAAGAGGACCTGACAGACTCCTGTTTCCATCTGGTGATTGTCACAGGCTACCAGAACAGGGCAGAACGTCTGGCTACAGTAATTTGTAAAAACATTGCAGCCTATGCCTGGGGAATGGCTGCTCTTGTCTGTAACAGGTCAGCGCTCCAACGCTGTGCGTGCGGCTGCAGCTGAGGCGTGTTGGGGCGGCTGGCACAGCACATTTCATTCCTGGCACATATGAAGGACTATTGGCTCTAAATATCAGAGTAAGGCTGTTCACTAGCACGGTTGTAGCCAACTTTGTTTTTAAAAGGATTTTTTGGTTAATTTTGACTGGGACAAGGGATTATAACGCAGAAAAACAGATGATCACGGTCGTCAATCTTCTTTGCTTAGGAAAGCAGGCTACAGAATGAAAAGATGCAGCTCCTGCCTAGGCCTGCTCACTGTGCTCATCAACGAGCTGTGAAGGAAAGCGTCAGGGGGTGTGTGGGGGATGTGAGTGTCGGGGCGATGTGTGGAGGGAAGGGGGCCGGCCTGAGTCGCGGCCGATGCCCAGCCATGTCGCAGGCGCTGCCCCGCCGCCCGGGCCGCAGCGGAACCGGCGTGCCGGGCGCGGTGCCGCGGCGGAGGCGCCGCTGTGGCGGCGGAGCCGCGTCCCGCCGGAAGCGCCGGGGCCGGGCCGGAGGCGGGAGGGCGGCGACGGGCCCGTGGGGCGGGAGCGGGGAATGGAGAAGCTGCGGCGGCTGTGGAGGGGCCGCACGATGACCTTCGGGGTGCCCCTGCTGGTGAGCGGGGCGCGGGGAGGCCGCTGGCGGTGCCGGGGGCCGCGGCGGGCGGAGCTCCGCGGGCGGGCGCTCTGCTGCTGTCCCCTCCTCGGCAGCGGCTGTGCGGGGCGGAGAGGGGGCGGCGGGAGCCGTGTGCTGCCCGGAGCTCAGGGACACGGTTATAAAACATACTCCTCAAGATATTCCTAACTGGGAGCTGAGGAAAATGCTTTTTGCGGATGGTTTGGTTTTGTTTTGGGTCTGTTTTTTTTCCTGTGAAGCACCGCTTGTGTTTCTTGTCTTACTTTCTGTAGCTTTTCATTGGGTTTTAAACTGCAGTGGTACTGCTGGTGTGATGATTTGTATATCTAAATAAGCGGAAAGATTTTGAGTGACGTGAGTTGAGGTTATAGGTAGCAGCTGTGCTCAAACTAATGAGTGAGGTGTAACTTTTTAGAGCAGTTGAGGGTGAAGGATTAAAACAAAATTATAAGTCTCACTTACACACACTATGTCTGTAGATAGTGCACATTAGGTTGCACTTCTCTGTCCTAAACACCTGTGTTCATTAGGGGAAAAATGAAAAAATACAGAGGCACTTATGGATAAAAACTCGGGAAGGAGGACAAAGCAGCACCAAGGCCAGTGTGGTTTCTGTTTGTGCAATTCGTATCTCCTTATCCATCTATATAGTTGGTTTGGAAAAAGTAAACAAACTTCAAGGTGGATAAAGAATAAGGCAAAGGATAATTCAAATTTTATAGAGCTACTAGAGAAATCAGTGCCATCTTCCTCAAATATTCAGCAGCATGCCTTGGAAAATGGAGTGGATCAAAGAAGGACATTGACACTTGTTAGAGTTAAAAAAGTTTAAGGCCATTATTTTAAAGGGGTATTCTATAGTTCTGATGTTCTATAGTGAAGGTTACTGATGAAGTATCTTTTCTAGAAATATTGATGAAGGCATTTGTAAGAAATGGAAACAGTTAAGCCAAGCAGACCAACAAAACAGTGTGATAATACCACAACTACATGAAATCGTTTGCATCAGCAGCTCTATTCCATGCTGTTGCACACAAACTCTGCCTACAGCACCTTTCCTGAAGTGATGATGCACAGTGTTACAGCTCGTCAGGTATCCTGCTTGCCTGCATGTGTACCCGAGAGGCTGTCCAGAACTGTGCTGCTTTCGTGCTTAGACCAAATTTATTTTGGGTTTGGATTTTTCATGTATGAGTGCTCTGACGATATTCTTCAGTTTAACAACACCTTGCTTAGATGTTAAAGGTTGGATATAGTTTTAGTTTATGGTGCTTTCTGTTATGTAATTATTTGAGGCTTGCTACTTCCAGAATCGGGGAAGATCAGGCAGTTTAGTATTCTCTGGTGCAATTTTAACTCTGTGGAAGGCCTGGGGAAAATACTGTGTGATTAAATTATAGATACTTAGAGGTGGTGACCTAGTGGAGGAGAAAAAATCACCACTGCTTTTTAATAATTAGAGTATCAGATTAACTAGTAGTAGGTGAGGAGATTCAACTGATACACAAGATTCTGATTTTGATAAAACTTTCTACATTATCTTCCCTGTAAGAATTTCATTTCAGAGAAATAGGGCAAAGATATGTTTCTTATCTTTTTAGTTCTCAAAAGGATTTAAAAGATACTATAAAATATAGTTACCACGTGCTTGCCAAATTAAAAGGTATCTTTGGAGGTAAGGTAGGTCCTGCAGACATAATGTGGGCTGTATTTTTGTGAAAAAACAGAAGTGTCATTACAAGATGGAGGAACTTGTCAAAAGCAGAGTGGAAAACATGAAACAGGATTGTTCCTGTGTACTCAGTCCTCAGCTGGAGTTACTTTTTAGCTCTGTGGTGCCATTCTGCCACGGTGCCGTGTGGAGGTGATGAAGACGAACTGTAAAGTCTAGAGGAAAGCAACATAAAAGGTTAAGCTGACATTCTACCTTTAAGGAATGCTTGAAGGAATTGGCTTAGTTTGTTTTAGACAAGTCTGCAAAGTTCTGTACATTGTACACTGAGAGTAGTGATTGCCTTTTATCACTTGGGAAAGTACCCCCAAGAGAGGTGATGGTGTGTTAGGAAAATACTGCTGTTTTTTGGCAAATATATGTAACTGATATATAACTAGGGGTTTTAAGGTGAGCTTGAACAGCCAGCTGGCAGCAATGGCATAGATTGTCTCAGTTCTGCTTCAGCGCTGGAGCCAGGACCAGCATCCCAGGCCAGGCCTGTGGTTGTACTTTTGGCCATCCCCAGTGTTCTTGCAAGGTTTTCCGTAGGTCATAGCAGGAATTTTTGAGGCTGGTTTCTTTGACTTTGTACTGCCTAATTTCATTCTGTTCCTGTTGCGACAGAGCTCTTTCCTCCAGACACAATATTGTATAGAGAATTTTCTATTATATTGCTTTCCAGGGTTTCATGTCTCCCTGCCTTAAAATTATTCTTCCTTGTGAATACTTCAGAGTGTTTCTGACTTGCTGCCCAAAGGCTTCCCGGGGAGTAAGAAAAAGGAAAATTCGTGCAATTGTCAGTTACCCAGCTGTCTATGGAGCTCTGAAGGCACCTCTTAAGCTGAACAGAATTGTGCTAAAAGATCAATTACAGCAAAAATGACAGTGAATCTAGGCAAAGAATCAGAAGGAGCATGCTTTTGCAATCCTTTCAATTCTGCTGAATTTGTTAATAATATTGAAACTAAAGGTTTCTGTTAGATTATTACATTCTGTACATAATTTTCTTCTCTCTAGACTGATGCAGGACTTTTCTTCAGTACTGCTGAACTTTTCATCAGTACCATGTTTGTTTTTTTGATTTGAATAAAAAATCTCTGTGTCAAAATCGCTAAGGCTCCATGGTCAAAGAAATCCTAATTCAAAGAAAATGGGTGTCTCATCATCCACCCCACAAAATATATCTGTATAAGATTTCTTAGTTTTTAGTGTAAGTTATCCTGATAGTTTTTTATTTGTTCATTTGGTCTTGGGGCTGCTAGAATATTTCAGTGGAATAGGAATTTTCATGGTTAGTCTTTAAACTTCATACTGACACTAGTTTTCAGAGTAAGATGTGTAAATCACAGTTTTCAGTGGTACTTTCTCAGTAGCTGAAAAAAGTGTTTCTTTGTGAGCAACAACAAAACTGTAGGGGCTAGGACTTGAACTTGCAGGAGACGTTGCTTTGTGAATTTTTCTGTAACTTTATAAAATTTGCAGATATAGTATCTCTGTGTGGCATGAACAGTAAGCATGCTGGAGACAGCGATGTAACCTGGTATGGAATGTCTCAGCAGCTTGAATGTGATCAAGTGAGTAATCCCAAAGCATTTCTGAAGGTGGTACCATCTGTCTAGATGTTGGGATGAGCTCCAGCAACCTTACAGGTGTATCTGAAATTTGCTGTTGCAGTAGAGGGCTGTGCCACCTCTGTGGTAACTTAAACATCTTTGTCACCTATATTGACATCTCTGTTTGCTATTTTGATTACAGGAACTCTTTCCTAATCACATAAAGTTTAACTTACAAGTCTTCAGCATTCATGGCTCTATTATAAAAGGAGGGCTTCAGTTTCTGCTGCTTTATATTCCACAATCAACTCTACCTGAGCAAAAGGGATGTGTCTGTCAATGTCATACTGCTGCAGTGATGCTTCTGTAAGATCCTGAGAGAGCAAGGCTCCTTGGCTTCCTGCTGGTGCATCCAGCATCACACCTTCCTTATGGGACACTCAACATGTAAGGTCACCTCTCTGGTACATTTGGAATATTTGAAGTCTGCTGGAAGTTAATTTTTTTCCAACAGGTTTAAATGATGGCTCTGTATCATTAAGGAAACAAGTCTGGATTTCAAAATTGCAAAGTAGTGACAAATGTAAAACACGTGTTAAAACCCCCCCTATTCTTTCATATGCTCACAGCACTTCCCAAGACTTGCCTTTGTGGTTGTGTCTCCACCTGATTCTAGGCAAGGATTTTTCAAACTCTCCGAGTTGCAAAATGAATGTATACATGCAGTTCCAGTTCTGTCAGTATGTTACAAGGGAAAAAATTATGTTCTGAGTATCTGAAGTGACATTCTAGCAGAAGGAAAATATAGTCTATGGTTCATTTGATGATTTTTATTGCACACCTAAAATAAGTATATCACACTGTGTGTATAGTAATGCAGATTTTCAGATTTGCACTATGTTACAACATTCTCCGTCCCTATTGCTGTAGATTTTGACTTCCTTTTCCTGGGGTTTTGTGGGGTTTTCCCCCTCATCCTGTAATGACTGCTTTTACAAGTACTTTGCTTCTCCTTGTGGATCTTGTCTTCGGTGTTTTACATGTCGTGTCTAGTATTGCCAAAGCAGGAGGTACAGGCAGCTGTGCTTCTGCTTTGCATCTCCTGTTCATCTGTGTGTCTTTGAATCCACAGTGTGGAGCTGTTCCAGACAAAACCAGCCCTGGAGCTGTTAGTGCTTGAGTGGAAGCCAGAGTGTTCAGGCTGCATGGGCTTCTGTGAAGTCCAGTTTTTGCAGTCTGAATTAGCTGACTTCCATCTTTCAGTTGACTGTTAGGTCTTAAAACTTCTGTTTCATTTCAAAGCATAAAGAGTGCATTTGCATAGTTTAATGCTGTTAGAATGGACTAATCTGGCACTTGGGGCGTCTGAGGTTCTCTGTTGAGCCTCAGAACAGAAGTCCAGACTTCCAGTGTTTAGTCCTGCCCCAGGTCTCCCACTTCTTCAAAGGATTGTGGTGGTAAAAGATTCACGTTTATTCTACAGAATGTTTAATCTTCATTTTTTGCCCAGGATTAGCAAGAGGGAAATAATACTTACTGTGGTTTCTTTTTATGTTCTTTCATGCAGGTTTCAGTTTATTGCAGTTTTGATCAGGGCCTAACACATCACAAGAATAGCAGCTTGCCACAAGATGTAAACACTTTCTTACTGTAGTTTTCCTTGGCTACATTTGAACTTGTGAGTTGTGGAAATGATAATTTTAATAAGGAAT